CCGATCGGTTGGTAAGGTGGATGAGTCTAGCGGCAGTATCGCAGAATCGCATGACAAGGGAAATCCCATTATATTCAATGGTGCTAATCAGCTCAGCACAGAGTGATTTTGGAAAAGGTTCCTGGTGGACCTTCAGTGCGATTTCTCTCCCCTCCCCCATGTTGTCTAACAGAAGTCGCACAGAGAAGAGGTATTCCTATAGGACTTTGATGGAGGAGCGGTTTGTTTTGATTTTTTTTAACCATCACCTCTCCTCCCTGGTCATCCATGCTGCCTAAAGGCTAGGTTCACACCAAAGAGGTTTTGACCCTTCCTTTTTTTGATCGATCTATCGTTTCATCGGTCGATCCCTCCATTGATCGACCTATCCTTCCTTCAGTCAACTGATCCTTCCTTTTAATTAAGCTATCCTTTCGTCAATTGATCAATCCTTCCTTCTATCGAACTATCTTTCCATTGATCGACCCATCTATCCTTCAATCAACTGATCCTTCCATTGATCAATCTATCCTTCCTTCAAATCGATTGACTCATCTATCCTTCCTTCAGATCGATCTACCCTGCCTTTCATCGGTTTATCCTTCCATCAGTTGACCCATCTATCCTTCATTCCAATCGACTTCCTTTTATTCTATCCTTCCATCAATTGACTAATCCTTCCTTTTAATCGATCTATTCTTTCTTCAGATCGATCTATCCTGTCTTTCATAGGCTTATCCTTCCATCGATCGATCTACCCTTCCTTCAATCGATCCTTCCATTGGTTGACCCATCTATCCTTCCTTCAATCAACTTCCTTTTAATCTATCCTTCCTTCCATCCTCTAATCAGTCAATCCTTCCTTTAATTGATCGATCAAAGGAAGGGTACAAAATTGCAGCTGTATCAAAACCGATGAATGAAGGATGACCAGGGAGGAGAGGTGAGGGTTTTTAAGAAAGAAAAAAACAACTTTTTTTTCTTTTTAACCCTCACCTCTCCTCCCTGGTCATCCTTCATCAATGGACTTTGAACCAGCTGCAATATTGAACCCTTCCTTCAATCAATCTTTCTTTTGATTAATCAATCTTTCCATCGATGGAATGGTCAATCGATCGACGGTAGGATGGTTTTAAGCCTTCCTTTCTTTGATCGATCTATTGTTCCATCGATCGACTTATCCTTCCTTCAATCAACTGATCCTTCCTTTTAATCAAGCTATCCTTCAATTGATCCATTCTTCCTTCCATCGCTCGACCCATCTATCCTTCCTTCAATTGACCGATCCTTTTAATCGATCTATCCTTCCTTCAGATCGATCTATCCTGCCTTTCATCGATTTATCCTTCCATCAGTTGACCCATCTATCCTTCCTTCGAATCGACCAATCGACTTCCTTTTAATCTATCCTTCCTTCAATCGATCCTTCCATCGGTTGACCCATCTATCCTTCCTTCAATCAACTTTCTTTTAAACGATTCTTTCATCGATCGACCCATCTACCCTTCCTTCAATTGACTGATCCTTCCTTTTAATCGATCTATCCTTCCTTCAGATTGATCTATCCTGCCTTTCAATGGTTTATCCTTCCATCGATCGATCTACCCTTCCTTCAATCGATCCTTCCATCGATTGACCCATCTATCCTTCCTTCAATCGACTTCCTTTTAATTTATCCTTCCATCAATCTATCCTTCCTTTATTAAATCAGCCAATCCTTCCTTCAATCAATCCTTCCATCGATCTACCCATCTATCCTTCCTTCAATCAACCCTTTCTTTTAATCGATCTATCCTTCCTTCCATCCTCTAATCAGTCAATCCTCCCTTTAATTGATCGATCAAAAGAAGGGTACAAAATCGTAGCTGTATCAAAACTGACGGATGAATGATGACCAGGGAGGAGAGGTGAGGGGTTTTAGGAAAGAGAAAAAAAAACAACCTTTTTTTTCCTTTTTAACCCTCACCTCTCCTCCCTGGTCATCCATCAATGGACTTTGAACCAGCTGCAATTTTGAAACCTTCCTTCAATCAATCTTTCCATTGATGGAATGGTCAATCGATCGATGGTAGGATGGTTTTGATCCTTCCTTTCTTTGATCGATCTATCATTTCATCGATCGACCTATCCTTCCTTCAATCAAATGATCCTTCCTTTTAATCAAGCTATCCTTCAATTGATCCATTCTTCCTTCCATCGATCGACCCATCTATCCTTCCTTCAATTGACCGATCCTTTTAATTGATCTATCCTTCCTTCAGATCAATCTATCCTGACTTTCATTGATTTATCCTTCCATTAGTTGACCCATCTATCCTTCCTTCAATCAACTTCCTTTTAAACGATTCTTTCATCGATCGACCGGGGCGGACTGACCATTTGGAAACTCGGGCACTGCCCGAGGGCCCGGGGTCAGTAGGGGGCCCCATGAGATGCCCCTGGTACCTTTTTCATAGGCTTTTTTGAGTTTGGGCAAGAACACAGGGGCCCCATGATCCCCTATTGCCCGGGGGCCCCATGAGTTGTCAGTCCGCCCCTGCGATCAACCCATCTATCCTTCCTTCAATTGACCGATCCTTCCTTTTAATCGATCTATCCTTCCTTCAGATTGATCTATCCTGCCTTTCAACGCTTTATCCTTCCTTCAATTGACTTCCTTTTAATTTATCCTTCCTTCAATTTATCGATCTATCCTTCCATCGATCTTTCCTTCCTTCCTTTATTTAATCAGTCAATCCTTCCTTCAAATGATTGATCCTTCTTTCCTTCAATCGACCCTTCCTTTTAATCTATCCTTCCTTCCTTCCATACTCTAATCCAGTGGTTCTTAACCTGGGTTCGATCGAACCCCAGGGGTTCGGTGAGTCAGTCTCGGGGGTTCGGCGGAGGTGACCCACACCCGACTCATGATTTGTGATGACATGCCCAGTGGTCGGCAAGCCGCGGCTCTTGTGTGCCGGGCGCCCGCTCCCCTCCCTCCTCTCGGACGGCAGGGACTCAAATGCAATGATTGGCCAGTCTCGCTGCCACTCACATCCTGATAGCCAGTGATTGGCTGTCAGGATGTGTGTAGGCGGGGCAGCGTGACGAACGTGAGAGGAGCTAGGCTCCTCTCACAGTCCGCCCTGAAGACCGGAACGGCGCGGGAATACAGCGAGGAACGCGCGGAGCAAAGGTAAGTGAATTGACACAGGGGGGACTTGGGGACTTAATATGGGGGATGAATTACTATATGGGGGATGAATTACTATATGGGGAAGGAATTACTATATGGGGGATGAATTACTATATGGGGGATGAATTACTATATGGGGAAGGAATTACTATATGGGGGATGAATTACTATATGGGGGATGAATTACTATAGGGGGGATGAATTACTATATGGGGGATGAATTACTATAGGGGGGATGAATTACTATGGGGGATGAATTACTATGGGGGATGAATTACTATATGGGGAAGGAATTACTATATGGGGGATGTATTACTGTGGGGGATGAATTACTATATGGGGGATGAATTACTATAGGGGGGATGAATTACTATAGGGGGGATGAATTACTATATGGGGAAGGAATTACTATATGGGGAAGGAATTACTATATGGGGAAGGAATTACTATAGGGGGGATGAATTACTATAGGGGGGATGAATTACTATAGGGGGGGATGAATTACTATAGGGGGGATGAATTACTATAGGGGGGGATGAATTACTATAGGGGGGGATGAATTACTATAGGGGGGGATGAATTACTATAGGGGGGGATGAATTACTATATGGGGGATGAATTACTATATGGGGGATGAATTACTATATGGGGGATGAATTACTATAGGGGGGATGAATTACTATAGGGGGGATGAATTACTATAGGGGGGATGAATTACTATAGGGGGGGATGAATTACTATATGGGGGATGAATTACTATATGGGGGATGAATTACTATAGGGGGGATGAATTACTATAGGGGGGATGAATTACTATATGGGGGATGAATTACTATGGGGGATGAATTACTATATGGGGGATGAATTTTCATACCGTTTGTTACAACATATCTTTGCGAGCAATCCTTTTCGAGGATGCTGGACATAAAGACGAAGAAAAGGAACAGACTTTGTTGCGAAAATGACATGAGAGTGGCACTTGCCAAGGTAATGCCGCGCATTTCTGAACTGGCCTCTGAAAGACAACAGCAGAAGTCACACTGATTTGCGGTAAATATTCATTATTTTGTTTTTGTGTGAAAATCATGTTTTAATGGTTTTGTTCTTTGTTCTTAATGGTTTTGTTCATTTTGTGCACCTATGTATAAATATATACCTATGTTTTGAATTTTAAAAATCATATTTTATTTTTCCAATTAAGAAGGGTTCGGTGAATGCGCATATGAAACTGGTGGGGTTCAGTACCTCCAAAAAGGTTAAGAACCACTGCTCTAATCAGTCAATCCTCCCTTTAATCGATCAAAGGAAGGGTACAAAATCATAGCTGTATCAAAACCGATGGATGAAGGATGACCAGGGAGGAGAGGTGAGGGTTTTTAAGAAAGAAAAAAAATTTTTTTTTAACCCTCACCTCTCCTCCCTGGTCATCCTTCATCCATGGACTTTGAACCAGCTGCAATTTTGAACCCTTCCTTCAATCAATCTTTCCTTTGATCGTTCAACCCTTCAAATGATCAATCTTTCCATCAATGGAAGGGTTAAATCGATCGACGGCAGGATGGCACAAAACTGCTTCAGCGTGAACTACGGTTTTAGGCAGCAAGGATGACCAGGGAGGAGAGGTTAAATAATAATAAAAAAAAAAAAAAAAAAGCACTGATCCATCAGTCATAGGAATGCCTCGTATCTATGCCGATGTGACGTCTATGGGACTGAAATCAGAATATAATGGGCTTGAGAACCTGCAAAGTCGCATCAATAGTCGCACTGGAAATCGCAGGACGTTCGGACTGGTTGCTATGGATACCACAGACTAAAGCCAGCGCTCCTATGAGGTGACACTCACCCGCTGAGGAAGGAGTAGAGCTCACTGGCCGCCCCGTGCCGGTCCCTCCACATCCTTTCCTCCTCCACCATCCAAACTGCGCGCTTCTTCTGTCAGCCGGGTCACCGACCCCGGAAGTAATTCCTCCCGCTCCCTACTGCTGGAAACCCACAAAACACATCAGAACAGTTGCAAACATTAATAATCTCGTCCAAATAAAGAAAAGAAGACTTTTCGCTGTATTATTTTACTAATTTGAATTGATTCTTAGAGTCTCAAAAGCGTCACTTCCGGGTATTTTCTTGAATCTTAGATTCATCCGCGACGGGAAATAGTCCCTGGGAGCAGGCCGGGTTGTAGCGATTTATTTTGGGCCGGTTTTTGCTGACCCGAGCGTGGGATGATGAGGGGACACTGGCGGTTTTTATCGGCGGGTAACGACCGGGGTAAGGGGGCGCTTTGTGTCGGTGAGGTGAAGTTGTAGTGCGCAGGTGTGGCTGCGCTTTCCGGCGGGGGGATATAGTGCCGCGTCGTCAGAGCTCCGCCCTTTTCTCTGTGTGGCCGCCATCGAGCAGCAGCCAGGAGCCGGCGGTCAGCATGGTGAGGAGGGGGAACTGGGATCCGGTGTACCGGGAGGGGGTGGCTCGGGGTCCCGGGTGAGGGGCGGGATAAGTGCTGTGTGTCCGGTGCCCGGATGTCTTCATATACTGAGCGGGCCGCAGCCACGCGTGAGAGCGGCCGACTGTCTGTCTGCCACGAGGCCTCGCACCTGACACCGTGCATACTCCATGCTGCTCTCTCTGCTTACTAACTGAAGACACTCATACTCCATGCTGCTGTTATAACATTACAAAGGCCGCAATCATACTCCATGTTTCCTCATCCCATGGCATGACTAGGCCGCACTCCTACTCCATGCTGCTCTGTGTACTCCTTGGTTACACTCCTCCATCCTGCTCCCTGCATACTAACAAGACTCCATGCTGCTGTTATCATGACATTAAAAAGCTGCAATCATACTCCATGTTCCCTCATCCCATGGCATGACTAGGCTGCACTCATACTCCATGCTGCTCTCTCTGTACTGCATGATTACTCATACTCCATGCTGCGCTCTGCATACTAACAGAAGACTCGCTCCATGCTGCAGTTATGACATTACAAAGGCCACAAATCATACTCCCATGTTCCCTCATCCCATGGAATGGCTAGGCTGCACTCATACTCCATGCTGATCTGTGTACTTGATTCCACTCATACTCCATGCTGATCTGTGTACTTGATTCCACTCATACTCCATGCTGCTCTGTGTACTCCTTGATTCCACTCATACTCCATGCTGCTCTGTGTACTCCTTGATTCCACTCATACTCCATGCTGCTCTGTGTACTCCTTGATTCCACTCATACTCCAGTCTGCTCTCTGTGTACTCCTTGATTCCACTCATACTCCATGCTGCTCTGTGTACTCCTTGATTCCACTCATACTCCATGCTGCTCTGTGTACTCCTTGATTCCACTCATACTCCATGCTGCTCTGTGTACTCCTTGATTCCACTCATACTCCATGCTGCTCTGTGTACTCCTTGATTCCACTCATACTCCATGCTGCTCTGTGTACTCCTTGATTCCACTCATACTCCATGCTGCTCTGTGTACTCCTTGATTCCACTCATACTCCATGCTGCTCTGTGTACTCCTTGATTCCACTCATACTCCATGCTGCTCTGTGTACTCCTTGATTCCACTCATACTCCAGTCTGCTCTCTGTGTACTCCTTGATTCCACTCATACTCCAGTCTGCTCTCTGTGTACTCCTTGATTCCACTCATACTCCATGCTGCTCTGTGTACTCCTTGATTCCACTCGTACTCCATGCTGCTCTGTGTACTCCTTGATTCCACTCGTACTCCATGCTGCTCTGTGTACTCCTTGATTACACTCGTACTCCATGCTGCTCTGTGTATTCCATGATTACACTCGTACTCCATGCTGCTCTCTGTGTATTCCATGATTACACTCGTACTCCATGCTGCTCTCTGTGTATTCCATGATTACACTCGTACTCCATGCTGCTCTGTGTATTCCATGATTACACTCGTACTCCATGCTGCTCTCTGTGTATTCCATGATTACACTCGTACTCCATGCTGTTTTCTTCATATACTGATGGAGGATGCACTTGTACTCCATGTTACCCCCCCCCCCCCCCCCCATATAACAGATTCAGGCCACACTTTTTGCAGCTCTTCCCATACATTGGTGCCACACTCATACTCCATACTGCTGTCACAATACAATGTACTCACACTCCATGCTGATTTCCTTTATACTCCGCCTGCACTCACTCCATGCTGCCTAAGTCCTTATGTCGACTTTGGCAATGCTCAAACTCCATGCTGCTGTCCCAGTACACTGACACTGCACTCTCCATGCTGCCTTAGCCCATACACAGACTTGAGCCACACTTTGAATGACAATTGCGCGGTCATGCAACACTGTACCCATATGAATGTTTTAGCATTTTTTTGAGACAGATAAAGCTTTATTTTGGTATTTATTCACCGCTGGGATTTTTTTTTTTTGCTATATAAATGAAAAAGTCCAAACATTTTGAAAAAGGTTTTTCTTATAACATTTTGCAAATAAATCTTTCTTCGTAAATCTTGGCCAAAATGTATTCATCTGTTAATCACATGATGAGGTAAAAGGCCAATCACAGCAGCCCTTTACCACGTGATCAGCCGTGTCCATTGACAAGCAGATCAGCAAGTAAATAAAGTTGCCTGTTCTATGCTGTAAGTATGAGGGAAGTATTGGCGGCAACCAGCACGTCACAGAGCAGATCTGCACTGGTTCAGTGCCCGTCCCGGGCTGCCGCGTGAGTGCCCGTCATGGCCGCCTCAACGCACATCAGTAAAGAAGAAAATTTACTGGTTTGCAAAATTTTATAATCAAAACAATTTTTTTGTGCTTTTCTGTTTGTTTATAGTGCAAAAAATAAACCCCCTCCGTGGTGATTAACCGCCTCCCACCCGTCATATACTACAATGACGGGCGCAAGGCGGTTCTCTCGTTCTGGGAGGACGTCATATGACATCATCCCATTCTAACCGCGCGTGCGTGGCTCCGGGGCGGTGATAGGTGGTGCGCTGCGTCCCTCGGACACAGCGGATCACCAATCAACAGAAAGAGCCAAAGATCATGTCATCAGTCATGTGATCAGCTGTGTCCAATCACAACTGATCTCATGTAAATAGGGAAATGCCGGTTATCGGCATTCTTTTCCTCACGAGCTGTCACACTGACAGAGGAGAGGAGAGAAGAGCCGGTAATCTGCATCCCTCAGAGGGGACATGTACACTGATCATCGGGGCACTGATCTGTGTAGCCCCAGAAGTGCCCACCTGCCAGTGCCCATCAATGCCACATATCGGTGCCTACCAGTGCACATCAATGCCGTATGTTATTGCCCCCTAACAGTGTCGGTGCCGCCTATCAGTGCCATATATGAGTGCTGCCTTTCAGTGCCCATCATTGATGCCTTTCAATGCCCATCAGTGCCACCTACCAGTGTCAATCAGTGCAGACTATCAGTGCCCATCACTGCAGCCTCATTAGTGCACATCAGTGAAGGAGAAAAATCACTTTACCAAATTTTATAACAAAAACTAAGAAAAAACGTTTGTTTTTGGGGTTTTTTCAAAGCTTTCAGTGTTTTTTTAGTTCAAGAAAAAATTAAAAAAAAACCCCGAGGTGATTAAATACCACCAAAATAAAGCTCTATCTGTCACAAAAAAAGATAAAAATGTCATATGGGTACAGTGTTGCATGACCGCGCAATTGTCATTCAAAGTGCAACAGCGCTGAAAGCTGGAAAATTTGCCTGGGCAGGAAGGGGGTATAAGTGCCCTGTAGGCAAGGGGTTAAATAACACCAAAAGAAAGCTCTCTTTGTACACTGCTCTGGATGGCTGTGCTGTGCAGTGTGCCCGAGCTGACAGGGAGGAGGAATGTTAGTAAACAAAGCAGCCCTCCTCCCTGTCGGAGATGCTCGGTAATCACCAGCCAGGACCCAGGGTGATTGCCAGCCACGGCTACCGGGAAATGCTAAATTACGTATATATTATACACGTGTTTTTGCGCATTAGCCCCTGCCAGCCCTGTAGCAGTATATCCTCTATAGGGCGGTATATTATTAAAGATATTAAGGGAATTCCCCCGGCGACCCCCCAGGTCACCAGAACTATTATTATACAGGATTTATATATTATTATTATATTATCCAGATTTTTATATATATTATTATCCAGGATTTATATATTATCCAGGATTATATATTACAGGATTTATTATTTATTATCCAGGATTATATATATTCCAGGATTTTATTATTATTATATACAGGATTTATGGCGCCAACAGTTTGCTCAGCGCTTATATATTATTATTATATTATACAGGATTATATATATTATTATTATACCGGGATTTATATTTACATATAACGGCAGACAATACAGTTCAATACAAGAGGGATAGGAGGGCCCTGATCCTGGGAGCTTACAATCTAGGAGTCCCCATTGGAAGGTTTCCCCTCTGTTACTTTCTTTGGGGACAACTCAAATTTAGGATTTTTTTTTTTTTACTTTTGATGACGGCAAACAGGACAGATGGGGAGGAATGACCAGGGGTACAGGCAGCAGTGAAGACTAACAGGAGTTCTAATCCCTCTCCACTCTGTCCAAAGATAAAAAGAAAAAAAAATTGCCTTTATTTATACTTTAAAGGGTAACTCCACTTTCATTGGGGGGGGAGGCAACTAAAATATATACAATTGTGACACAAGTCATATTGTAATTGAATGTTAATAAAAAGGACTTCCTTTACAATCTGCAGCTACTGTCATTTTCTGTATTGCGCTCTCTGTCTGTCTGTCTGTCTGTCTGTCTGTCTGTCTGTCTGTCTGTCTGTCCAGTGTGCTCCCAATCTGCCAAAACAAACATTGACATTGTCTGCCTCCTCAGCAGATATATCTGCATACAATGTGTCTGACGTCTCCTGATACATATTAATGATCACATGACCTGTATAGGAAATTCCTGCCTTCTGGCATCTACCCAAATAAGATCTCTGTATACCAGTGTTTCTCAACTCCAGTCCTCATGGACCCCCAACAGGTCATACATTTTCACATTTCCATTATTTTGCACAGGTGATTTGATCAGTTTCACTGCCTTAGTAATTACCACAGCTGTTTCATCTGAGGGAAATCCTGAACGTTGCACAAATGACCTGTTGGGGGTCCATGAGGACTGGTCTGGTTGAGAAACACTGCTGTATACAGAGTAATTATTTCAGGTACTTATATATCGCCACCAATGTACTCCAGCGCTTTACATATATATTGTACATTCACATCAGTCCATAACCCTCAAGGGGCGTACAATCTAAGGTTCCTAACTCACATTCATACATACACAGACTAGGGACAATTTAGACAGGCAATTAACCTACCAGCATGTCTTTGGCGTGTGGGAAGAAACTGGAGTACCCGGAGGAAACCCACGCTTTTCCATTTTTTGCATTAAAAAAGGCGGAAGAAAAACGCATGACCGTTAACGTTGCATTTTTCAAAGTCCTGCTTGCTGCATTTTTGGTGCATGTTTGGTCTGGTAAAAAAAAACTAAATCCCTCCATTGAAATGAATGCAAACCGCATCAAAAAGGGAACGCACCTGTGGGAGGTGCTCATGCCAGGTTCAAAACCGGAGTACCCGGAGGAAACCCACGCAGGCACAGGGAGAACTTGCTAACTCCAGGCAGGTGGTGCCGTGGTTGGGATTCGAAACCAACTCTAGTACTGCCAGGCAGAAGTGCTAACCATTTAGCCGCTGTGCTGCCCCAGTATTGTGCCCCAAAGTATATAAGAAATGAGGGAGGTATACATACAGCAGAGTAATATAGAAGTACATAGCAGCACATTCAGATTGATGGTTCGGTGTGCTGTGTACAGGGGGCGGGTTTGTCATATGGAATTGTCATTCAGACCCACCTATGGGAAGAGCACCCGCCCCCCTGTACACAGCATCCTTACGAGCTGATTGGCTCCCACTAATGGGATGTGTATAGTTCTGTGTTGTCATTATACATCCCATCATTAGGGCCCACCCATGGAATGAGCACATGCTGTACAGGGAGCCCCCCCTGTACACAGCACCCTTACCAGCTATGGGATTGGCTCCCACTAATGACTAGCTGATGTACTAACAGTTCTGTTGTCATATGCAGTGTCATTCAGAGGCCCACCTATGGGACGAGCACCCGCCCAATCCTTTACACAACATCCTGTACAGAGGGGCGGCTGATTGGCTCCCACTAATGACATATATCTATATGACTGAATGACACTGCATATGACAACCGAACTGAATGCACTGTATACATCCCTAGTCATTAGTGGCAGCCAATCAGCTGGTAAGGGTGGTGTGTACAGGGGGGCGGGTGCTCATTCCATAGGTGGGCCCCAAATGACATGACATATATCTATATGACAACACAGAACTGTATACATCCCAGTCATTAGTGGGCACCAATGACAGAACTGTATACATCAGCACCAATGCAGCCGGTAAGGATGCTGTGTACAGGGAGGCGGGTGCTCGTTCCATAGGTGGGCCTCTGAATGACACTGCATATGACAACAGAACTGAATATGTCCTAGAGGCCCACCTATGGGACAAGCACCCATCCCCCTGCACACCACACCCTAACCGACTGACTGGCTCCCGGTTTTGACAGAAATGTGTACAATTCTGCGTTGTCATATGGAATGAAGTCGTACAGATCTCCACCTATAGGCTGAGAACCCGCCCTCTTTACACGTCTTCACCAGCTGATTGGTTCCCAGTTGACGGGAATCTATACCAATACATTACATCACTCAGCAGTACTCTGCAATAAAAACTAACTGTTCTACATTCAGAATTCATCCTGTATTCTGGCGCACATAGTGGGGGGGTTTACTAAAACTGGAGCCCTCCGAATCTGGGGCAGCTGTGCATGGTAGCCAATCGGCTTCCACGTTTTCTTGCCAAAGCTTGATTGAATAATCTGAAGTTAGAAGCTGATTGGTTACTATGTATAGCTGCACTAGTTTTACTAAATCTCTCCCATATTTTCTCGCTCTGTCCCAATGCAATGATGGTGTAATTTGCGCCTTACCTGGTATTCAGTGACAGTTGCCTACTGTCATTATGCTGATACTGAGGGCTGACGATAATCGAGTCTGAGCATTGTGTGTGTGTCCTAAATGTGGAACGTTTGTTATAAGCACAGATATGACCACTTGTTTTTATTTCCTCCCCCCCCAGGCCTGCGCTCGTCCTTTGATCACGGGTGTACTCCGAAAAGGGGGAAACATCAGGCAAAAATGTGACACTGCCTGCGGTGTTCAAGGCTCCGATACGTCCAGATATAGTCAACTTTGTTCACACCAACCTGCGCAAGAACAACAGGCAGCCCTATGCAGTGAGCGAACTTGCTGGTATGTGATCTGATGGGCCGGGTGGGGGGTGTAGAGTTTTGTTCACACACTGAACCGCATGTGAATCGCACCGCATTCCTGTGCAATCGCATGTGGTTCTGTGCGGTGAGATTTTAGCCTTTTGATTTTATATTCCAAAAAATACCACCCCTGATATTGGTGATCATTATATATGTGTCACATTAATTCCTTTTGATTATCTCTATAATCACACTATATGTGGAAACACACTTGCACAAATATTAAGTGACATAAATTATATGTGACAAAAATTATGAATTAAAAATCAAAGAAATTATTTATAATAGTGCCCAAAAAACACCATAAAACATAAGTCCATTGTGTGATTAATGTGGGGGGGGGAGCGTCTGGACTGGAAGGGGGGGGGGGGGGGGGGGGAGCGTCCGGACTGGAAGGGAGGAGCGTCCGGACTGGAAGGGGGAGCGTCCGGACTGGAAGGGGGGGGGAGCGTCCCGGACTGGAAGGGGGAGCGTCCGGACTGGAAGGGGGAGCGTCCGGACGTGGAAGGGGGAGGGGAGCGCGACTCCGGACTGGAAAGGGGAGCGTCCGGACTGGAAGGGGGAGCGTCCGGACTGGAGGAGAGCGTCCGGGGAGGAGAGGGGGGGGGGGGCGGAGCGTCGGACTGGAAGGGGGGGGGGGGGGGGGGAGAGTGTCTGGACTGGTGGTGGTTGAGACCCGAAAACGGTTCATATGTTGCCGAAAACGTTCATTTGCAGTGGTTTACTGAGGCTATGGCTGCAGCTGTCGGCTATAATCCCGGTATGTAAATTTTCTGCAGCACTTTCTTTTTCTGAGAAAAAGTGATCCAAACAGCTGATTAGCCGCTGGATCGCTTTTAGAAGCAGCCAGAGGGGTTGTAGTTCACAGAATAGCAAGAACCAATTGAGCTCTTTGACCTTTGTCTTGCAGAAATAGTTTTTTGCACATGATGAGCTTCACTTCATTGGTCCGTGTTTCTGAAACTAATGATTGCCAAGAAGTTCTGATGAAAGCTTTAGACCGAGCAGTCGGAATGCAGTGCATATTACCTTTGTTGATGGCATTTTCTCTCCTTTCCAGGTCACCAGACCAGTGCTGAATCATGGGGAACCGGCAGGGCTGTCGCCCGTATTCCCCGTGTCCGTGGCGGTGGAACGCACCGTTCCGGCCAGGGTGCCTTTGGAAACGTATCCTTTTTGAAATGTACGGAGTTTGCAGCTTGCTGTGATGTTGTAATTTGCGCCTTACTCCTCACTTTGCGACAGTTGCCTGCTGTCACCATGCTGGTGTGGATGGCTGATGACAACTTAAATTCTGAGCAAGACTACATCATTTTCGGTAAACGATTTTGGAAAATGAAGGGTTTTTTTTTTTTGTTTTGTTTGTATTCTCTTTGCCATTACAAATTTTATTCCTTAATAAGGATCTTTAGATGTGCCGAGGAGGGCGTATGTTTGCCCCAACAAAGATCTGGAGACGCTGGCACCGTAGAGTCAATGTAACCCAAAAGCGATATGCGGTTTGCTCTGCACTGGCTGCCTCAGCCCTGCCTGCACTCATCATGTCTAAAGGTAAGGGGCAAATAGATGCTGGTGTCCAGTAGATGCTGGTGTCCAGTAGATGCTGGTGTCCTGTAGATGCTGGTGTCCAGTAGATGCTGGTGTCCAGTAGATGCTGTGTCCAGTAGATGCTGGTGTCCAGTAGATGCTGGTGTCCAGTAGATGCTGGTGACCAGTAGGTGCTGGTGTCCAGTAGGTGCTGGTGTCCAGTAGGTGCTGGTGTCCAGTAGGTGCTGGTGACCAGTAGGTGCTGGTGACCAGTAGGTGCTGGTGTCCAGTAGGTGCTGGTGTCCAGTAGGTGCTGGTGTCCAGTAGGTGCTGGTGACAGTAGGTGCTGGTGAGACCAGTAGGTGCTGGTGACCAGTAGGTGCTGGTGACCAGTAGGTGCTGGTGACCAGTAGGTGCTGGTGACCAGTAGGTGCTGGTGACCAGTAGGTGCTGGTGACCAGTAGGTGCTGGTGACCAGTAGGTGCTGGTGACCAGTAGGTGCTGGTGACCAGTAGGTGCTGGTGACCAGTAGGTGCTGGTGACCAGTAGGTGCTGGTGTGTCCAGTAGGTGCTGGTGTCCAGTAGGTGCTGGTGACCAGTAGGTGCTGGTGTCCAGTAGGTGCTGGTGTCCAGTAGGTGCTGGTGTCCAGTAGGTGCTGGTGTCCAAGGTTTCTTATGGGCTCCATGTGATGATTTCCACTTCTGGTCCGTGTTTATGAAACCTGTGATTTCTGTGGAAGTTCTGATGAGTCTCTAATTGTATAACTTATCTGTATCTCCAAAGCATATGTGGTCTTGTCTGCCTGTATAAGTCATCATATTTCCAGCATATAGCCAGGACTCTGCTAGCACAAGTCAAACAACCTTCACATTTTGGAGTAGGATAGTTAAAAGGAGAAAAGTTATTTTGTTTGACCTCCTACTTTGAACTCCACTCCAGGGGAAATACAAACTGGGCCCTTGGCTTGATATGGGTTAATGGCTCATTTGCCTAGGGCAGTGGTCTACAAACTGTGGCCCATGGGCTGAATGCTTGCTGTTATCCAGCCCTGAGGCACCATTGTTCCCACTGGCACTAGCAAGGGAACACTACACCCCCCCTTTCACCCCAGTGGCACAGGCGATGGGGCACTTTCTCCACAATGAGAAGCCTTATTCCCAGAAATAAGCTGCCCGTACTGTCCCATTGCATTATGCTTTTTTTTTTTTTTTTTTTTTTTTTTTTTTTTTTTTGGTGTGTTTTCCAACATACAGAAGCCTTGAGAGTGGTCTTGTCCAATGGCACTCAAGCTTTGTCAGCTGTCACATGCTGAGCGTCTGCCGCACACAGGAGCAGAAATCCATCCTTCTGTGATGTGGCAGATGCATTGGTACACTATGAAATGTGCTTTCTTTTAGGATCGCAGTGTTTTTTTTTTTTGTTTTTGTTTTTTTGTTAATAAAATACATAATGAGGTTCTTCAATTCTAAGACTTATTCTGTGTGCCACATTGTTGTAATCATTTTAGGTCACCGTATTGAGGAGATCCCAGAGGTTCCGTTGGTGGTTGAAGATAAAGTGGAAAATTACAAGAAGACAAAGGAGGCTGTTCTGCTGCTGAAGAAGCTCAAAGCGTGGAATGACATCAAGAAGGTGAGAGGCGCTCGTGGTTGTTTCTACACTGGTGAGAGAGAGAGAGAGAGATGGATATGGAGATAGATATTAGAGAGAGAGAGATATGAGAGAGAGAGAGAGAGAGATATGAGAGAGAGATATGAGAGAGATATGAGAGAGATATGAGAGAGAGAGATATGAGAGAGAGAGATAGAGAGAGAGATATGAGAGAGAGAGATATGAGAGAGAGAGATATGAGAGAGAGAGATATGAGAGAGAGAGATATGAGAGAGAGAGATATGAGAGAGAGAGATATGAGAGAGAGAGATATGAGAGAGAGATATGAGAGAGAGAGATATGAGAGAGAGAGATATAGAGAGAGAGATATGAGAGAGAGAGATATGAGAGAGAGAGAGAGAGAGAGAGAGAGAGATATGAGAGAGAGATATGAGAGAGAGATATGAGAGAGAGAGATATGAGAGAGAGATATGAGAGAGAGATATGAGAGAGAGAGATATGAGAGAGATGAGAGAGATATGAGAGAGAGATATGAGAGAGAGATGAGAGAGAGATGTGAGAGAGATGTGAGAGAGAGAGATGTGAGAGAGAGATGTGAAGAGAGAGAGATGAGAGTGAGAGAGAGAGAGATGTGAGAGAGAGAGATGTGAGAGAGAGAGATGTGAGAGAGAGAGATGTGAGAGAGAGAGATGTGAGAGAGAGAGATATGAGAGAGAGAGATGTGAGAGAGAGAGATGTGAGAGAGAGAGATGTGAGAGAGAGAGATGTGAGAGAGAGAGAGATGAGAGAGAGAGAGCGAGAGATGAGAGAGAGAGATATGAGAGAGATGAGAGAGAGAGATATGAGAGAGAGAGATATGAGAGAGAGAGATATGAGAGAGAGAGATATGAGAGAGAGAGATATGAGAGAGAGAGATATGAGAGAGAGAGATATGAGAGAGAGAGATATGAGAGAGAGAGATATGAGAGAGAGAGATATAGAGAGAGAGATATGAGAGAGAGAGATATGATAGAGAGAGATATGAGAGAGAGGATATGAGAGAGAGAGATATGAGAGAGAGAGATAGAGAGAGAGAGATATGAGAGAGAGATATGAGAGAGAGATATGAGAGAGAGATATGAGAGAGATATGAGAGAGATATGAGAGAGAGATATGAGAGAGATATGAGAGAGATATGAGAGAGATATGAGAGAGATATGAGAGAGATATGAGAGAGATATGAGAGAGATATGAGAGAGATATGAGAGAGATATGAGAGAGATGAGAGATATGAGAGAGAGAGATAGAGATGTGAGAGAGAGATGAGAGAGAGAGAGAGATGTGTGAGAGAGAGAGAGAGAGATGTGAGAGAGAGAGAGAGAGAGATGATGAGAGAGAGAGAGAGATATGAGAGAGAGAGAGAGAGATGTGAGAGAGAGAGAGAGAGAGAGATTGAGAGAGAGAGAGATGAGAGAGATGTGAGAGAGAGAGAGAGATATGAGAGAGAGAGAGAGAGAGATATGAGAGAGAGAGATATGAGAGAGAGAGATATGAGAGAGAGAGATATGAGAGCGAGAGATATGAGAGATATGAGAGCGAGAGATATGAGAGATATATATATATAGAGAGAGAGAGAGATATGGGGTGACTACAGCAACACTGGAGTTGCTTCCGCTATAATTTATGAAAAAATGTTTATTGAAAATCATTATAGTTGCCAACTCCTTTTCCCAAAACATTAAAAGTTACTGCCCCACCCGCTAACCTTCACCAAATGGCAGAAAATAATGCAATATTAAACAAAAGCAGCTAGTTTAATAAAAAAAATATCTTAATAGAATATTCTGCAAGTTGAATCTACAACGGAATTCTCCAGTAAAGAACTGTATAACTGGATGTGATGAATCTGTATTTATCCTCACAAAGGCACATATTGTGCAAGTTTCACTTGCAATGCCACGGCGCCTGTCTCCTCTCTAGCTCCGGCGCCCGTCTCCTCCCCCATCTTTTAACAGATGACCGTTCACTTGTGTGTGTCCAGCGGTTTGCCTAGAAATCAATTAAGCACTGATGGAATGTTGGCTGCAGCTATGATGAGTTCCACTTCTGGTCCGTGTTTCTGAATGTCCGTGATATTTGTGGAAGTTCTGAGCTACAGTGAAATGGCCTTGGATCCTTACATGAATGTTTTGTGCACAGGATTCCAAAGTTGAGATACTTGACCACTATTTTCCTAAAATCATATTAGGGCAATTCTTTAAAGGCGAAATACACAGCAGAATTATGTCTGTAAAATGTTTTGGCTGCCAAAGGTACTTCTGCCAGTTCATTGGGCAATGAGAATCATGCCTCTGGTCTATTGGTCAATAAGGCAACTGGCAAAGTAAGATTTAGTTAGAAAATGGTGTTCAGCTGACTGTCCTTTTTATACTGTTGTGTGGACACCGCGAATGGCTGAACACAGATTCTGTACATGAACAGTGTTGTCCATTCATGGCAAAGAAACTGGTTCATTTTAATGACTGCACCACCATTTTTTTTGTTTTGTTAGGCCCCATTAACATGGGGCGATTGCTTGCGTGCCCTTTGTAGGGCTGTGGTTTGCCAGTAAGGGGATCCACAGGTGCATCCCACACACGTGCGGTATCGCCACGAACGGCGGAGCGAGAGCAATAATTCACAGTAGACCTCCTCTGTAACTTTTCACTGCTAACCTGTAGAAATTTTTAAAGCATCGCCCCTGGAGATTTTTAAGTACCACAGTTTCACGCCATTCCACGAACGTGCGCAATTTTAAAGAGTGACATGTTAAGTATCTTATTTACTCGCTGTAACATCCTCTTTCATATTTTCCAAAAAAATTGGGGTGTATAATTTTTTTTTTTTTTTTAATCAGTGTTTTTTTTCCCCAAAAAAATGTATAATTTATAAACTGTGCATTTTGAATTTTCGGTTTCAGCACCAGAACGTTAATTTCTGTGTACCACTAATCTGTGTGTGTGTGTGTGTGTGTATAGATAGATAGATAGATAGAGAGAGAGAGAGAACACATTGCATATTTCAGTGTACGGTGTATTCTAGTCTGTTTCTGGATTTATCGATGATTCTCAGTCATTTAGGCTAGGTTCACATCTCCGCGTTCCTGCGGGCCGCGTTTTGCGTGGCCACGAGAGCCCATTCATTTGAAATGGAGGGCACGAGAGCCCATGCATTTGAATGGAGGACACGAGAGCCCATGCATTTGAATGGCGGACACGAGAGCCCATGCATTTGAATGGCGGACACGAGAGCCCATGCATTTGAATGGCGGACACGAGAGCCCATGCATTTGAATGGCGGACACGAGAGCCCATGCATTTGAATGGCGGACACGAGAGCCCATGCATTTGAATGGCGGACACGAGAGCCCATGCATTTGAATGGCGGACACGAGAGCCCATGCATTTGAATGGCGGACACGAGAGCCCATGTATTTGAATGGCGGACACGAGAGCCCATGCATTTGAATGGACTCCCGTGCCCCAGGACATGCAGGGAAGAAGTCCCTGCACTTCTTTTTAAAACGCTGCACGCACGCATGGGAACCTCGGTTCTCAGTACGGTTGCGTTTTCCAGTGCGGACGGCGTGCCATTAGAATTAATGGCACCCGCCCGCGGGGTCCGCATGTACGGGTGGTGCGGCTGCACGGATTTGAACCTGAACCTAGCCTTAGACATTGATGTAGCGAGGACTGTTTGACGCAGATTTCCTGTTTGGCCCCAGTGATGCACTCAGTCCTAAGCTAGCCCTTCTTTTATTCAGGTCTATGCCTCCCAACGTATGCGTGCTGGTAAGGGTAAGATGAGAAACCGCCGTCGCATCCAACGCAGAGGCCCTTGCGTCATCTACAATGAAAATAAAGGCATCATTAAAGCCTTCAGAAACATCCCAGGTATAGTCGGTCTGAACAATAGCCATCTTCAGCCTCAGGAACTTCCTAATCTGAGGCTTTTTGTTCATATGCAGAATACTTATTTCTGTTTTACTGTTTTAGGAATTACGCTCCTTAATGTAAACAAACTGAACCTGTTAAGGCTGGCTCCCGGTGGTCACGTTGGACGGTTCTGCATCTGGACAGAGAGTGCCTTCCGCAAGCTGGATGACCTCTATGGCACATGGCGCAAACCAGCGACCCTCAAGGCAAACTACAAGTATGTATGCGTCCGTGTTCTCAGGAAGGTGGTTCCTCTTAGACCATGGCCTTTACAGGCTTGTGGCTCCTTTATGCCTCTGCTGACTTGCTGTTAATTGAGCCCAAGCCTACACGGGGAAGTTGCATGTTTTTGCTGATGGGGAATTCAAGTGTTACTAAACCCACAACAGTACAAGCACTGTATATGCAGTAAAGCGTGCTTGTTATACTCGCTGTGGAACCTAAGGGGTTAATCCTCTGAGTGTAAAGGCTGTTTGATCCTGTCTTCTCTGCCCCTCCTCTTGCTCAAATATCCACAGTGATAAGACAGATTGAACCCATATCCCTTCTGCACATGCTCAGTTTCGTGTGTATTGCTAGAGGGTTTTTTCTTGGGAGAGTGCATGTGATCAGCACAGGGCCAATCAAGACAGAGGTCAGGGGTTTGCATCCTCCTAGAGCGGAGAGAAAACTCCTACAATCTTTAACCAGTGCTCTGCTGAAGTCACAAGACTGCTCTATACTGCCGATGAGAAATGGTATTTAGCAGTTTATATTTACTAAAATGTCATTTCCATGTACTGTGGGAGAGTGGATATAGGGAATGCAGGGTCCGGGGAGAGGGGGAGAGCGGATATAGGGAATGCAGGGTCCGGGGCAGAGCGGATGTAGCGACTGCGGGGTCCGGGGCAGAGGATGTGGGATGTAGCGGATGTAGCGACTGCGGGGTCCGGGCAGAGCGGATGTAGCGACTGCGGGGTCCGGGCAGAGCGGATGTAGCGACTGCGGGGTCCGGGCAGAGCGGATGTAGCGACTGCGGGGTCCGGGCAGAGCGGATGTAGCGACTGCGGGGTCCGGGCAGAGCGGATGTAGCGACTGCGGGGTCCGCGCAGAGCGGATGTAGCGACTGCGGGGTCCTGGGTTTAGGAACACTTCACTTCTGATAAGCCACACATTGAATTCAAAGCTGTAAATGAGATGTAGCAAGGACACAGACCTATGCTTTTATTAAAGCATTATTTTTAAAGCTGAACTCTATGGCGTAAATAGTTTATTCCTGCATTAAAAAAAAAAATACATAGAAGTAACAAGTACTTGTTTAATACTCTGACATTATTATTCATGATTTATATAGCAGCAATAGTTTGCTCAGCCCTTTACGATATAAAGGGGGATGGTGTGCTTACAATACAGTTCAATATAGGAGAATCCTGCACATGGAGCTTACTATCTACCCATTTATCTACCCATCTATATACTATCTACTCATCTACTATCTACCCATCTATGTACTATCTACCCATCTATGTACTATCTACCCATCTATGTACTATCTACCCATCTATGTACTATCTACCCATCTATGTACTATCTACCCATCTATGTACTATCATTTACCCATCCATATACTATCTATATCATCCGCCCGGAGGCTGGACAGAATTCCACATCTTTTAAAGCTGGACGCCACGTTCAATGTCCCTTTTTTAAATGACTTGTTTGGGCCAAGCTGGACCAAACGATTTCTTGCACTTGGTACACTTGCTGAGCGCTCTGTATTAGTTGTATGTAGCCTCCGCTGTATACAGTGCTCTGGTCACAGTGGGATGACAACTTCCCAGAACAAAAGCAGAGTGGTGGTCAGCCATTTGTTAATACATAGCTTCCTCTGGCTGAGGCAGGTGGTTGACTTCGCAATATCAACCTCAGAGGAATGTTTGAATTCATAGAATACAAAGTTTTCAGTGATTGGATGAGCGGCGCTCAGACAGACTATTTTGTTTCAGCCGGCGGGCGGGAGGTTCTCATCCTACTGCCGAAACAGCACTGTACTGTATGAAGCTAAATACAGCACACCTGAGTAAATGCAGTAAATGGTTCATTTTGGGCCTGCTTGGCCCAAATAAAATTTTAAAGAAAAATTAAACAACGGAGTTAGGTTTTACCGGTTTGACCGTTTAACCTCTTCATGCCAGCCGAACGCAAATGTTTGGCCACTCGACGTCGAGTGGCCGCACATTTGTGTGTTTTGTTTTTTTTTTTTTGTTTTTTTTAAACCGTGCTGAGAGCGCGTGCCCTGCATGCTCCCGGCACACATGTCCGGTACTCACAGAAGGGTCCCGATCCTTTTTTTTTCGAAAGGGACCTTTCCCTATCATGTGACGGCGTGTTAAGGCAGTCGCATGACCCTAAACCCCTACCCGCCTCCTGGCTTCTGAAACCCTTAAAGGGCCGGGAGGTGCCGGTGTGAAGGGGTTGATAAAAACAGGATAATGGCGCACGGTAGGTTGTAAGAACGGGTCTTATGCAACTGTAAAATGATCAAATAGTAACTGATGTCTTGACACTGCGTCACACAAATATGTGGCCTCCCAGAACTGGGCTTTTTTCCGTGGGGCCGCATATGTGCATACCTGTCTTTCTGCTGGGAGCAAAGCGCACTCCCAGCACAGACCACGGTGTCAATGAGAGCCCCGGCTCCCGTTCTAACGATCGGGACCCAGGACTCCCGATTCCGGGTCACATGTTTGCTGTGATGGCCTCTGGCTATCACAGTGATCAGCCACTGTACAGCCCAGCCCCCTTGTTTTTTTGTTTTTTTTTGCAGGTGAGAGATACATGTATCTAACTACTGGCATAGAGGGGGGGAAATTGTTTTAAAAAAAAAAAAAATCTAAAATTTAAGAAAAATTACCTAAATCAAGGTTTGATCATGTTCAGTGACAGGGTAAGGGGTCAAGGTCAGGATTTAAAAAAAAAACAAAATGTGGTCAGTGTTTTTTAGGTAAGAAAAACAAAATGTGCACTATTGTTTCTGGGCTGTACTATGGGTACAAATAACATACACATATAAAATTTATTTTGGGTTGTTCTTTGGTAGGTTGTGGTAGTAAGAAAAACACACAGCTAAACTTAAAAAAAAAAAAATACATTTTTTTACTATTTTGGGCCAGTTTTCCTTTTGATAATAAAAAAATAAAATCAGGAGATATCCATTACCATTTACCAATGAATAAAAGCCCAATTTGTCCTGTAAAAAAACAGTTTAGTTCACCTGGATGTACAAAGTACTTGTGATATGTACGTTTTCACGAACACATGTCAAAGTTGCAAAATTGTGCTTAGGCATTTAGATTGGTTTTACCCTTAGGTGTAAAAGGGGTTAATTGAGTATATAAAAGTCCATTGGTGGCTTGTAGTATAGCTATAGCGGCAGCACCATGCTCAGTTTGAACTAAAATCTGAATAGTAAAGGAAGACCAGCAGGGGGCACCAGCTAAGTGTAGATTAACTTGTTTATTATTGCTACACTTTGCTGGTGCCCCCTGCTTGTCTCCATTTGACAGTTAACATGCGTAATTCAAGTTTTTTGCCTGGAGTTTAGTTGTAGCTGTTTTAGTGAGGACTAAGTGCCCGGTGGTTATCTGCTCCTGTCCTAATTAATCATGCTAGCTCTAGAAAAATTCACACTGACACATATTCGGTCTGTGAAAACTTCTAATTTATTATGATGAAAGTGAGATTATATATGCAAAATGATGCAAGAGTCATGTGAGCGCCGCATTAGCATTATTGAGCTATATATTAGTCTTTTGGTCACTTCACACAAAAACAATCTTCCTCAGAATATAGGCGTGATCTCCTCCAAGATCTTATCTCTAAAAAGAAAATATTTCCTTTGTTCTCAAGTTCACTCGATGGGAGGGGTTGCTGAGCAGCTATTTTTGAGTTAAGGAGGACTACAAAGACCAGCGGGCAAAAAATATACACACCACACATATATTCATACAAAACTTTTAGAAATATAAAAGTAGATCTGTATAGAAAAATGTATATATTCAACAGGAAACCAAAAAGGGATTTTGCCATATCCATCACATAGGCCAGTGGTTCTCAACCTGTGGGTCGTGACCCCTTTGGGGGTCGAACGACCCTTTCACAGGGGTCCCCTAAGACCATCAGAAAACACATATTTCCGATGTGTAGAAAGCAGCTGCTGTGTAGAAAGCAGCTGCTGTGTAGAAAGCAGCTGCTGTGTAGAAAGCAGCAGTATTGGAGGTATAAAACGACACTTCATGAATTATAATTACTGGGTAAATAATTTCATGGTTGGGGGGTCACCACAACATGAGGAACTGTATTAAAGGGTCACGGCATTAGGAAGGTTGAGAACCACTGACATAGGCACTGATAGATTTTCAACTGTAGACATGATGAGTTCCACTTCTCTGGTCCGTGTTTCTGAATCTCCGTGATATTTGTGGAAGTTCTGAGCTACAGTGATCCATGCAAGAATGACATGAATGTTTTGTGAGCTACTTGAGTGTTTTGGTTTTTTTCCTCCTTACATGGAATGTAATCTTGCATCCACAGCCTCCCCATGCACAAAATGACGAACACAGATCTGAGCAGAATCTTCAAGAGTCCGGAGATCCAGAAGGCTCTGCGTGCTCCAATGTAAGTTGGATTTATCCCTTTTCCCGTCCAAACTTTCTGAACCTGCTTATCTCTTAATGATGAATTCCACTTCATTGGTCCGTGTTTATGAAACTCTGTGACTTTAGTTGAAGGTCTGATCCTAAACGAATTCACTTGTTTACCGTATAATGTTTAGTCGCCAAAAATATATTAAAATGTTTTTAATGTTTGAAAATTTCAGTAAGAAAGTGAAGCGCAGACAACTGAAGAAGAACCCACTGAAGAACTTGAGAATCATGATGAGGCTGAATCCATATGCAAAGACTGCCAAACGCAATGCCATCCTGCGTCAACAGGAGAATGTGAGTACTTGGAGGATCGGCTTTTACTAACGAAGGGCGGTAAAAACTTTGTGCTTTAAATGGCGTTTGTTTTATGGAACACTAGCCACACCCAAGTTTCTCTACTGATGAAAAAAGCATTCCATGCTAATGGTGGGGTTGCGAATCGCCTTAACACTTCATCGCCTAGGCTTCTGGGACCGGAAGTGAAGTCCTGAAATACGATTTTAAGGTGTTTACATTAAGAAAAAAAAATATCCAAATAGTGTTGTACAACACACAAACCATGCAATCAGAGGAACTTTAAAAAAAATGGGTGGAACTCTGCTTTAACCACTGACGACCCCAGGCCTTTTCTGGCACTTTGTTTACATGTAACAATCAGTATTTTTTGCTATACATTTTTTTTTATTATTTATTCATTTTATTTTATTATTTTTTTTTATTAGAAGCCAGAGAGAATAAATTGGTGGGTTTTGCCATTTTATTGACTTTTAGTTGTAGGCACTGACAGCGCAAATAATAAAAAAAATAAATAAATAAAATAAAAATAAAATAATAAAAAATAAATAAAATGATGTGAGAAAATATATGTCCAACAAGCAAAGTCCAAAATTAAAGTTCAGTGTCCCAAAAACTTATAAATTATTGTGCTGCGCTCCCTAAAAACAATATCAATTTTCAGAAACATGCAATAACCCCCTTAATTGTGTTCCACTAAAAATCCACCCATGCAGCAAAAACATCCCAATATAATACACAAAAAATCCTCATAAAAAATCACCCATGCATCAAAAAACATCCCAGTGTAATAAACAAGTCCTCTTTCCCATAAATCAGCTTCAATCAAATGGATTAATTCCAGGTTTCCAAGTTCCTTATAGCAACACTGCTGCTCTATTATGCGCTCACCTCAATTCACTGCCTGTCAGGCTAATAAACGCAGTTTATACCACATGAGGATGAAGGATCCCTTGGATGACCACCACCTTCTTTGGATCTCTCCACACTTCAGTGTTCCTGATTAACCACCTGGACACTTACCGTATTTTTCGCCGTATAAGACGCACCTGACCAAAAGACACACCTAGGTTTTAGAGGCAGAAAACAGGGAAAAAAATTCTGAACTAATGGACTGCAGACACAGTACAGGAGATGACCAGAGACTGCAGACACAGTACAGGAGATGACCAGAGACTGCAGACACAGTACAGGAGATGACCAGAGACTGCAGACACAGTACAGGAGATGACCAGAGACTGCAGACACAGTACAGGAGATGACCAGAGACTGCAGACATAGTACAGGAGATGACCAGAGACTGCGGACACAGTACAGGGGATGACCAGAGACTGCGGACACAGTACAGGGGTGACCAGAGACTGCAGACACAGTACAGGAGATGACCAGAGACTGCAGACACAGTACAGGAGATGACCAGAGACTGCGGACAGCACAGGGATGACCAGAGACTGCGGACACAGTACAGGAGATGACCAGAGACTGCGGACAGCACAGGGATGACCAGAGACTGCGGACAGCACAGATGACTGCTGACCTTTGGGGAGGTGGGGAGCGGGTACCTGAATTTGACAGATACCCGCTCCCACTTCCGCGGAGTTTGTTTGATCTTACCTGTTCCTCGATCCAGCCGCGCGCTGTCTTCCCGGCTTCTGTAATGGCGCTCGGCATGACAGCCGGGTGCCCAGTGCGCATGAGCGAGAAGCACTTGCGCTTTGTGATTGGTCCGGCGGCTTCTGGGATCTGTCATGTGTCCCAGGTACCGCCTTACCATTCACAAAGCGCACCGCTTCTTGCGCATGCGCACTTGGCACCCGGCTGTCATGCCCACACTACAGAAGCCGGGAAGACCGCACGCCGCTGGATAGAGGAACAGGTAAGGTCCCGCTGCAGAGCTGAGCGGCCGGCCCGGTATTCTGACACGGCCGCAGTGGAAATACCGGACCGGCCGCTCCATATTCGCCCCATAAGACGCACTGACATTTCCCCCCCAGTTTTGGGGAAGAAAAAGTGCGTCTTATACGGCGAAAAATACGGTAATCCTCTTCTATGGACATACGGATAAATGGATATAATATGCCTCTTCTACCCCTCCTGGGGAATGAACCTCCTAAAGATTACTCCAGCAATCTCCACATGTATGGTAATAAAGGGAAACAAAGAATAGTGCTTTATCCTTTTAAAACACTTTATTGCAAAACTAAGTTTGCCGAACTCACATTGTAACAGATAAAAACAATCCCATCAGTAAAAATAGCCATCAGTGTGTATCACACTCTCTCTCAGTACTCGCCGTATCACAGCAAAGCCGATCGAACGCGGTGACTAGAGATGAGCGAAGTATTCAAAAATTTGATTCGGCTGATTCGGCGAATTCGAGGAATAAATTCGATTCGAGGCGAATATATTCGCTACGAATTTAACTTATAAAAAGGGTGTTTCTAGGCTTCAGAGAGCCTTTATATTAGTGCAGAACACTGTACCTTTAATTTAAATGCCCTTGGAGTCTGCTGGGGAAGAGAAATAATACTGTCAGTCAGTATGACATGCAGATGAGTGCCGTCGATCTTAGAATCACCGCACACTTCACTCATTTGGGCAGTCACGGGGCCAAAACCAGAGTGTGGAGCCACAGTGTGGCGGTGGAGGCAGCAGCAATGGGAGGCCATACAGCAACCTATGACAAAATGGAACCCACCAGCAGTGTGAGGAGACCTGAAAGTGGCACATGGCAGAGTGTGGCGATGGAGACAGCAGCAATGGAAGGCCGTACAGGGACCCATGACACACTCTGGACCTGGCAGCAGCATGAGGAGGCGGTACAGGGGCCCATGGCAGATTACGGGCCTAGGAGCAGCATGAGGAGTCGGTACGGGGGCCCATGGCAGATTACGGGCCTGGCAGCAGCAATGGGAGGCCCGTAATCTGCCAGCACCCTATGACAAAATTAAACCCACCAGCAGTGTGAGGAGACCTGAAAGTGGCACATGGCAGAGTGTGGCGATGGAGACAGCAGCAATGGGAGGCCGTACAGGGACCCATGAGACACTCTGGACCTGGCAGCAGCATGAGGAGGCGGTACAGGGGCCCATGACAGATTACGGGCCTGGCAGCAGCATGAGGAGTCGGTACGCGGGCCCATGGCAGATTACGGGCCTGGCAGCAGCAATGGGAGGCCCGTAATCTGCCAGCACCCTATGACAAAATGGAACCCACCAGCAGTGGAGCTGGTGCTCTACTCCGTGGCCGTTTGCCTCCACTGACACTGCTGCGACCCTGCTGCCTCCTGGGCAACCCACCGACTTTTTTGCTCTTTGCCAAGCTGGCACCCTCTTCTCCTGATGATGCGGAAGCAATAGCCTGATGACGAGGCTGCCAAGTGCGATCAACCTCATCATCAATTAGGGTCTCCGCCTCACTACTAGCCCCCTCGGCTGCGTGTGGGTCAGGAGACAGACCTGTCTCTAGACCGGCTACCGAGCCACTCTCCTCGCCAGTACTTCTTCGCCTGGCTGCTGAAAAGGCGGATGTCTCCCCCCGTTCCTGACCGCCCTCTGTTAGCTCTTCCTCACTGTACAGTGGGGCTGAGCCCACAGCATGCGATACTTCGCTTGGTGAGGGAACACCAAAGGACAGGGGCAGGTAGAGGACACGTGATTTCAGTGGGCTTGCTCCCGGGCCATGCCAACTAACGGTTGTGTCTGACGTACCCACTGACCGTTGGCTGTAGGTGTCAGAGGTGACCTGGGAAGAGGAAGACGACCGAGACAACCAATCGATGACGGCAGGGTTGTCGGTGGAGACACGACCGCTGGATGACACCGGGAGCACTGGCCTCTGGCTGCGACTAGTGCTGCCTCGACCCCTTCCTCTGCTGCCACGTCTGCTCGCTCCTGAAACATTGCCTCCTCTGCCGCCACTCTGCGTGTTGTCTGACATACTCTTTAATTCAACGATTCTGTGTCCCTGAGTAACAGTTCTGTGTCCCTGAGTAACAGTTCTGTGTCCCTGAGTAACAGTACTGTGTCCCTGAGTAACAATTCTGTGTCCCTGAGTAACAGTTCTGTGTCCCTGAGTAACAGTTCTGTGTCTGTCCCTGAGTAACAGTTCTGTGTCTGTCCCTGAGTAACAGTTCTGTGTCTGTCCCTGAGGAACAGTTCTGTGTCTGTCCCTGAGGAACAGTTCTGTGTCTGTCCCTGAGGAACAGTTCTGTGTCTGTCCCTGAGGAACAGTTCTGTGTCTGTCCCTCAGGAACAGTTCTGTGTCTGTCCCTGAGTAACGATTCTGTGTCCCTAAAGTATCTGTGGCCCTAACTCTGTCCCTAATACAGAGAGGTCTGTCTCTCTTGAATGACTGGAGGCAAATGGAGAATTGTAAGATGGCCGCAATTTATAGCTCCACCATTACACAGTGCTGGCTGGCTGCTGATTGGCTAATGCGATCACGTCATGAATGAATGCATTATGGGTCAGCGCGCCTTGTCTGCGCGCCTTCCCAGAGATCCCCGCTCCGTCGCCACACATGTCGCCGCAATTTATGGAAAAATTTCAATTTTTCCTAATATTCGAAACGAATTCCACTTCGCCAAGTTCGATTCGCTCATCTCTAGCGGTGACGTCAGAGCCCCTCCCTTAGGGTTATTGCATGTTTCTGAAAATTGATATATATGCACATGCTGTTTTTGTTTTTAGGGAGCGCAGCACAATCATTTATTTTACTATTATATACACTATTATGAGTTGGGTGTGAAGTGTTTGCGAACCACATATTGTTTTTATTTTTGATTTATTTTATGTTTTTATTCATTTTTTAAAAAAAATAGTATTTTGTTACACATTCTGAACGTGACAGTCACTATATTGGCTCACGAGTCTTTTTAAAAAATATTTTTTAGCTTGTCCCAAAAACTTGTGACCAAAAATATGAGTATGGAACAAATGAATCACTGATGTGAGCACGCTGGAAAATTTATCAAGTTTGTGTTATAATTATATTTTTTTGTCACAAATTTATGGGACACTGGAATTTAG